GCTGCTGCTCTCCGGCAACCGGCTGCGCGCGCTGCCCGGCGGGCTCGTGCCGCCCGCCGCCGCCCAGCCCTTCCCGCTGCTCAGCCGCCTCGAGGCGGCCGACAACGAGGTGGCCGAGCTGGGCGCCGCCATCGCCGCGCTGCCCGCCCTCAAGGTGGGCGCCGGGGGGGTCCCTGCGCGGACCCCGGGGGACACGGGGCCCCCCCGGCGCTCCGGGCTGACGGCCGGTGTCCCCCGCAGAGCCTGGACCTCTCCAACAACCAGCTCACGGAGCTGCCGGCCGAGCTGGCCGAGTGCCCCCGGCTGAAGGAGATCAACTTCAGGGGCAACAGGCTGAGGGACAAGCGCCTGGAGAAGATGGTCAACGGGTGCCAGGCCAAGGCCATCCTGGAGTACCTGCGGGCGGGCGGCCGCGGGAAGGGCAAGGCCGAGAGCGCGCGGGAGGACGCCAGGAGAAAGAAGAGAGAGAAGCGCCAGAAGAAGGAGGGCGGCGACGGGGAGCAGGACGAGCTGGAAGACGTCAGCCGGCTCCTGGTCAGGGTGCTGCACGTGTCCGAGAACCCTGCGCCCGTGACGGTCAGAGTGAGCCCGGCCACCAGGGACGTGCGGCCCTTCATCGTGTGCTGCGCGCTCCGAGGAGTCACCCTGGAGCCCGGCAACGCTCTCAAGAGGTTCCTGGCTGCCCAGGTAGCTGCTGCCACCCCGCCTCGGGCAGCGGAGCTCTTGGGGGCTGCTTTGTAAGAGCCAGGCCCGCTCTTTAGGAACACATCACAGGAAAACGCAGTGAAAAGGCGGTGAAGTTGCCTCTACAACAACAGCTTTTTACTGCTGTTAAAGCTGTTGAGGATTAATAATGAGCGCTATTCTCACTAAAGTTATCCTGATTTGGCCCCAGGTACCCTAATTTGCAATGAGCTCCTTTGTGTGCGCTTCCACCTGCGGACTGAGGTGTCACAGCGCAGAATTGCAGCTGGCCCGCGGCTCACGCACGTGTCCGTTAGGTGGCAGCCCTTGGCTTCCCGCGCACCTACAAAACCTGTGCATTCGGGGCCGAGTTTGATGCCCTTCTTTACATTTTAGACCAAACTGCACGAAGACATCTGTGAAAAGCGAACAGCGGCCACCATTGCCACCCATGACTTGCAGCTGATCAGAGGTCCTCTGACGTACAGTGTCCAGCCTCCCGATGAATTGAAGGTAGGGCCAGCAGCAACTGTAGCCTCTTTCTATTTATTTTTTCCTTATATGATTCTATGATCTTTATTTTTTCTTTTTTTTTTTTTCCTTACTCCTATAGTTCCTAGAAAAACTGATCTTTGATTTAGCAGCTGTGTTCATGTTCTCCCACTATAACAGTCCCTGCTTAACAGCCATCACGAAGCTACTCAGCCTTATTCCAGAGCCTGGAAAAATGCCTGGCATTGGGTTTTCTGCTATCAAGTAGCTGTATCAAAGAAAGAAGCAGTGGCAGCAAATACCACAGCATATGCCCTGATATTCAAGTGATGCTTCAAAACCAATTTAGAACACATTTATGCAAAGAATCCCATTGAATTGCTAAGGTGACAAGATAAAATGCACAATCTAGCTATACTGTAACAGCTCAGAAGGCTGTTACAGAGAACAGTGATATATGTGAACACGTGACAGCATCCACAGGTGTTTGATTCTATGCAGTACGTAGAAGTACAAATCTGTTTGCAAGTAATTTTGCCTGAAGTATGTTTTGGTTATCTTTGTGCTTACAAAAGACTGTTAATAGCAGCAGTGTCCAGTTGTCTTACGCTCAAACGTTTGCTTTTCTTGTCTGGTGTAGATAACGCCCCTGGGTCGGAAGGAGATCAAGGCAAAGGATCTTGTCCGTCAGCTGCAGTTAGAAGCTGAGGAGCAGCGGAAACAGAAGAAGCGCCAAAATATCTCTGGATTGCACAAGTCAGTGTAATAATCTTACATTAGGAGTAATTTCCGAGTACTAGCTCATCATTTCCGTGTGCCCGTGGCTTTCTCCTGTAGTTAGCTGTATGATCGTGATAAAGTCCTGTTGAATTTTGGTGCTCTAGTTCCTCTCTGTGGTATGCGGTAGCTCAGGAACCCGCTGATTGTTTTGCCGCTGGTTTTTGCCAATATGTCCAGCTGCTGTTTCACTCACCTTTAACGTTTTTTTCTTGGCAGGTATCTTCAGTTACTGGATGGCAAAGATAACTACCCGTGTCTTGTGGATGCTGAAGGCGTTGTTATTTCCTTCCCGCCAATAACCAATAGTGAAAAAACAAAGGTATAAACTATTAGCCTCTGTTAGAGGGAAGCACGTTAACCAGAATCGAACGGTGATTTTTTTTTTTCTATTGAGGAATAATTAGCTCCAGACTGCAAGACGCGCAGCAGCCTGTGAAGCTTACGGTCACATTCCAAAAGCCAGTCTTCATTGCCTGAACCCTCTGAGCTAGAGTATCAGATTGAGGTGAATCTTAAAGGGTTAAATTTTACATCTGCAATTTGCAAAGCTATGGCAAGCTGCTYGAAAGGCAGCGGTTTTCCTTTGCAGATAAATCTTTACTGAATGGCAAAGAGAAGCGCAGGAATACAGATTTGTACTTGGAAAGAAAGCACTTAGCATGTGGCTCTGAATGCCTCTCCTTCGGTTCTTGTATTTTGAGAGCTTTTGCCAAATAATGAGTATGCTCTGATTCATTACTTGCTTTACCTTTTGAAATCCTTACAGATTAAAAAAAGCACGTGTGATCTGTTTCTAGAAGTGACAAGTGATGCCAGTTTACAGATATGCAAAGATGTCATGGATGCACTAATTCTGGTGAGTAATCCAGTAAAATAATCTGATTTGTTCTTGGTGTGCTTCTTAGTGAAATGTTTCAGTGCTTGCATGTATTGGAGAAGAGCACAGCAGTTGTTTCTTTACTTCTATTTTGCTGTATTTCAGGAGGTTTTTATATGCTTATCTCCTGACTGGCAGACTTTAAAAACTTGCCAAGGATAAATTGGCAATAATATAATTTGCCAATTTTGCCAATTTTGAGAACTGGAAATAAATGGCATGTCTTTCAACACCTTCAGGTTTAGCAGGTGCCCAACACAGATAAGCAGTGGTAACTTAAAAGTTCTTTCAGTTTCCTTCAAGATTCTAACCTAGCATAGAACGTTTTTGTGCAAAGAGCCCTTCAGGGGCAGGCCAGATTTGTATCTCAAAAATAACTTTGAATTGCTCAGAGAGCACAGATGCAGTATTCATACTTACTTTAATCTTGTTTTCTGTATTTAACAGAAAATAGCAGAACTAAACAGATTCACCTTGGAAAACAGGGAAGACAACTCCGCCTCAGATAATGAATCTGATGCTCTTTGTGGGCCAGTGAATTTGAATCCCGAGCAAAATGTGCAGCAGACCAATTCTCCGTTGGTAGTAGAGCAGGTTCGAGTGGTGGACACAGATGGAAACTTGAAAGTGGTTTATCCTTCAAAAACTGACCTAGCCACAGTTTCTTCTCTTCTGACTGTACTGCGTTAGCAGCTGTTGACCTAAGAGAAGGATTCGGTTTTCATCTTCTTCATGTTCAAGAATGCAACTTGTACACAGTGAGATTGTTACTTTCTTTTTCTTTAAGAAAAATGCAGTGTGTCATGCCTTGGTATGTAAAACTTTCAAATTTGATCGAACTATGCGAAGGAATATTACATTCTTTCAGCCTTAATAAAAATTTACCACTGGTAATTACCTCTTTTGAGCTCAGCAGTGGTGATCTCTCTAGCGTGTTTTTGATAACAGCACTGTCCTAACATGCCCAAAAGATGTGGCCTGCTAAATTTTGGCAGCTTTGCAAGACTGACCTGATCCTAACTAGAGAAACTTAGCAATGCAATCCTCACACATACGTGATGAACAGTTTAATTGGTCAGTAAGTCACTGTGTGAAAACAAAGCAACAGGAGCCAGGAGGTGGTGACATATTCTGACTGTCTGAGCTGTGAGGATTTGTTTTCAGGCATCAGAAGATATTACTTTTGGGGACTCTTTCTGCTACTCCTAGAATTGGCGAGGGCTGAAGTAGGTGTGTCGGGGCTGTAGAGAGATGGGACCTTGACACCCTTCTGTTTCAGCATCTGATGGAACTCCATCCGTTCGTTAATAATTTTCTGAAAATCAGAGATGTGCAGAGCGATACATTAGGCTGGCAGTGGTAAAGTGTTTTCTTGTCTCATCAGTTCCACGCTAGCTCCGAGAGCAGAGTTCCAAGGAGCCACATACCTGCATGGCCTCCAGCACCTCCTCATCAGTCAGTTCTGCCTGGGGACACTTGCTGCCAGCAGCACTGAAGGTGGCCTGAATTATTTTGCTTCGATATCTTTCAAACTTGTGATAAAATAGGAAAGTAGGTATGTTCAGGCTTTGTGAGACTGCCTGCAACTGTCATGGAGCTTACTATGAGACGGAGGCACTTAGGGGTCTTCTATGCTGTCACACTTGAGAAGAAAGGAAGCTGCTAGTGAGTGATGAACCGGGAAGCCCGTTCCTGTGAAACAGCTACAGTACAGCATGGGCTGGTTGAGTGGGTTTCACTGGCAGCTGCACATACTTTGTGACAATGCTGRATTTCCAGGTGCAATAACTACCTTCCCACAGGAGGCTTGCGCTAGGCCCACAGGGAGCCTGGGCACACTAAATGGCATTARGTGATACCTGCTACTTTGCCAGGAAAGACTGTAGAGGTCTGGTGAAGTTAACAGTTCTGTACTCGAGTTTCTTGAGGGTTTCCAGTACTTAAGGCTTACTTGATTTGCCAGTGAAACAAGCTGCATGCTAAAAAGTTGGGAARTAAATGGACTGAATTGCCTGTTCCTCTAGCCCTGTTGCTGCAAAGAGAAATCTGGCCTCCCTCTCTGCCCTGGAAGCAAAGGACTGCAGAGCCCTGGTAAGTCTCCTGTGCTGCTGCCCAGGAGTGGCTCTAAGCTTTCCGATTCTCTGCTTGAAATGGCTCAAGTGCCTCCTAAGAGGGAGGGAGGAATGGGAAGTGAGAGAGGCTGCATTTACCCTGCTGGTGATGCTTTGGAGTGCTACTTTAGTTTGCTGCTCCGTGTGCTGCAGCAGGTCGGCTTGGCTCTGGATTGCCTCCTGTGCCCGTTGCTGCTCTTGGATGTGGTACTCGTTGACCAGAACCTTTGCCTGCAGCTGGCTGACCGCGCTCTGTAGATCACTGATCACCTGGTTCTGCTCAGCCAGTTGGGATTCTTGTTTCGTAACGGTCTGTGGAGACACATAAGCGTAACTAGCTGAGCCGTCAGTACCAGAGTTTTCCATAATTCATCGTGGGCTTTTGCACTAAATTCACCTGTCGAAGACTGCAGTTCTCCCTCTCCATTGTTGCCATCATTTCTGCATGTTTCCATTCTTCTCTCAGGCTGCAAAACTAAGAGAAAAGATTTTACACCTCAGGTTTGCAGTTCATAGCTGAACTTGCTGTCTCACTAGGAAGGGAACTGTTCCCCAAAGAGCAGCTTCCAGCTGCCACCTCCYTCAGCAGTCACCGTCACTGCTGCCAGGGCACTACCTTGGCAGACATGGCTTGCAGCTGATTTTCTCTCTCTCTCAGCTCCTTTTGCAGTGTTTCCTTCTCAGATCTGGTTCTCCGAAGCTGGGACTCTTGGATCTCCAGTTGTCTCTGCACGGCAGAGAGGGCACCTGTAAATTTGGAGAACTGCTGTAAGTGAAACTGAATCCCTGTCAAAAACTGCAAGAAGCTTTTTTATTTTTTCAGGTAAGCATAAGCAGACCTGCTTACAGATTGTGGGTGAAGTTTAAACTACAGCCACACTGAGACTAATTAATAGTCTACTTCGTAGCACTTTGCTGTGATATATAATAAACTCATATAACCTCATTTTTTGAGTAGGAGCTGTTCTTAGAGCTAGTTTTGCCAGCAACATAAGCACAAGTGTGCCAGAGAGCCCAGACACTTTGGGGTGCCGCAGGGTGCTGGTCAGGACCTTTCGTGCAACATTTCCTCATGATTGTCTAAGAGGAGGCTTCAAAGGACGTGTCATTTCTGAACCACTCTGAAAGCAATAAGCAAAAGCAGGTTTTGTCCTCCTGAGAACCTAAGCTGGATTTTTTTTCAAGGTAAAAGAAATAGATTTGCCAAAGAACAAACTTGGTAACTAGTAGAAATGGTGCCAGGCTTTCAGTGCCCTCTCCTGGGATACCTGCGGCCATGCTGTAGTCATGTTTTGTCTTCTGCAGTTCTTCACAGAGTTCTTGGTTGGCTTCCTGCAGTTCAGCAACCTTAGCCCTCAGTGCCTGCTGCTCTGCTTCTGGCTGCTCCCGAAAGCTGCCTTCAGCCTCCGCGGCACCGAGGGCTTCTTCTTCAGCACCTTCGTTACCTGGGCTCTCCTGCTCCGTTTCTGTGTGCTGCAAAGACAGAGGAACAGGGACTTCTGAGGCTTTAATAAAGCCTTGTGTAGAGATGCATGGATKCATAGCTGGAACCGAAGCGGTTCAGGGAAAACCGGTGTGCTACTGCTCAGCCCCCGAGGAGGTGTGAAGGGGACAGATTCCAAGGCATTCAATGGGATTTCTATGGATTTCTTTCTTGGGTAAATGGACAATTTTGAAGTCCCAGATTTTAGCATGATACTGGAGTTGTAATGTTAAGCAAGGCACTTTCTCTCTCAGACTTGTCCTGAGGCTGCTTTGCCCTACGCTGTCCGCTCTCGAGCTTGCTGAGCTRTGACTCCCCGTTACCAGTGAGCAGTGCTGAAGATACATTTCTCTGCAGGAGGAAAATGAGGGCGACAGAAGCACCCAGAAGCGYCAGAGGAGGGAACCCGGCCCTTGCCCGTGGAGCCCCGGCTGCGACCCGGTGCCGTTACCGCCTCTGCAGCGGCCGCAGGGTCCGTGAGCAGGCGCAGCCGCTGCCGCAGGCTTCCCAGCTCCTCGCGGAGGCCGGCGATGGCGCTGTCCTTCCTGGCGCAYTCGGCCTCGTAGCACGACAGGCGGCCGACCTCTTCCTCCAGAGCCCGCAGGCGCTGCTCCTGCGCCGAGAGAGGCCCGGGTGCGGGCGCCGGCCGGGGGCCGCGCGGGGCCGCGTGCCCCGGGGGGCCGCTCACCTTGTCGCGGCTCTCGGCGCCGCTCGCGCCCGCCGCGTCCGGCCGGCCCTCGAGGCCGCCTCGCTCGCGGGACAGCTCSCTGGCGGCCTCTTGCTCCGCAGGGCTGCGCGCGGGCTGGAGGCCGCCTGCGCGGGGGAGCGCGGCTGTTGCGGGGGGCCCCGGCACGCACGGGCGCCGAGGGGCTCCGCCGGCCGGGCCCTTACCGAGGTGGGCGGTGGACGTGGCCTTGTGGCACGTGCCGAGGCAGTGGGGCCGCCGGGGCACGGGGCCGCTCGCGGCCTCCCCCGCGCCTCCTCCCAGGGGCTCCTCCTGCGCCCGCGGCCCCGCAGGGCGGGCGGCCTCCAGCCGCGGCAGCCGCCGGCTCGCGGCTCCCCGCCGCGCCGTGCTCACGGCCGGCGGCTCCCTGCCCGTGGCTGGCGGCTCCCAGCTGGTGGTGCTCGTGGCTGTGACACTCGTGGCCAGCGGCTCCCTGCTCGTGCTGCTCAAGGCTGGCAGCTCCGCGGCCACGGTGCCCGGCTCTGC